CCCCCCCCCCCCCCCCCCCCCGCTTCTCTCCCCCTCCGGAGACAGGATCGGGCCCTCTGGGAGCCCGGTGCGAATCCTGCCTCCTCCTCCTCACCCGGCTTCTCTCATCTCCTGCTGGACCTACGCCAGGCCTGCCCTCCCCTCCCCCCCCTTCGCATGGAGAGGGCGGCTGGGGAGCATGGGACCCGGGAACAGCCCCACCTCACCCGGGGCACGTCTGGATGTCCCCCCCACCGTCAGACTCTCCCGCAGCCTCTCCGCCTCCTGCGGCGCACCACGGTCGAAGAGAGCGAGTGCGGCGTCCTAGAGAGGCAAGGCTCAGTGATGTCACTTCCTCCACCCCCTCCGCTGGAAAGGCAGCCGTGACTTTCGCCCTCCAGTGTCCCAATGGGGAAGCGCCTGGAGTTCCCTTCCCTTGATGGAGGGCGCCCCCTGGGGGATTTGGGTCAAAGTGCCCTGATGCTAGAAAGGGCGGGAAAGAAGAGCGGATGGGAGGGGGAAGGGAGGGGGCAGGGATGATGGGTTTGGGAGTAGGGAGAAAGGCCCCTCTCCATGGTTCCCTGTCAGACAAAGGCTTCTACGTCTGTGCTTCTTTCCCCCCTTTTATATGATCTCAAATGCCTCGAAGGAGGTTTTCGTCTTTCTTCTGTGGCTTTTCTAGAGCGGTTTGGTTATTTCTTATCTATTAAGTGCAACTCCACCTCCACCTCTTTCATTAGGTCCACTTCTATATTTATTTAGAGAAGAGAAGAGAGAAATCTTATTTGTGAAAATCCCTGATATATTGGAAGATGCCCCCATGTCTCCCCTCGTCCTTCTTTTCCTCAGACCAGACATACGCAGTTCCAGCAACCGTTTTTTTAAATATCTTTGAGCCTCCATCTTTGTTGCTCTTCTCTGCATTCTTTCTGGAGTCTCAAGATCTTCTTTATTGATTTATTATACAAATCACAAAGAAAAATAGAAATAGGAAATTGAGGGAAGGAGAAAGAGGGGAAAAGAAAGTCTAAGGCACCAGAAAAAGAAAAAAAAAGATGCTGACTTCTTTTTAGCAGTGCAAGATTTAAAAAAAACAAAAACATTCCAGCTGACAATTCAGTTTAACGGACAAAAGCAAAGTCATTTTGGGTCTCTTTCTTTTGAACCCTTTAAATGTAAAAAATATTCCATTTAATGGCTGGAGAAGGAAACTCCCCTTTGTGGCTGAGTGAAGGACGCTCCTGCCTGAGGGGATCTGCGCTCTGATTGGTTGCTGTGGGTGGAAAGGGGGCGTTTCCCTTTTTTCCTGCCTTTTTCTTCTCCGGCTGCTTGAGATTTACCTCAGGATGTTCCCGACTGTCTTTCTCTGCTGCGAATGTTAAATCCATTTATATTGATATAAAACTACAAGTTTCTCTCCGTGTCTCCCGCTTCCTTTGGGAAGCAGCTGCGTGATTTCCCCCACATTAAATCTCCTCAGTTGCACCTGCCAGTCGTGGGCTCCTATTTTACCCCATGAAAGT